CGCTACAGTTCCTGTATTTTTCAAATTCATATATTTGCTTCATGTTCCTAAATATTTACAGTGTTTCAAATATTTCTGTATTATGATTTTTAAGAAAAATGGAATCTGAAGACACTACAGTCCATAAAGATAACACTGAAAAGTATTTGCTTTCATCACTAATTTTTTGCAACTCTTCTGTACAGGTGTTACAGAAGTCATTAACTATCTTATACAATTTAGATAAATATAGTCCCATACATGGATTATTATTTTTTGAGTTCTCAAAACCTCAAATAACTACAGGATATGTGGATGATCTTATAGTGGCGTGTGTTATTGACGCTGCAGCTTTAACAAATTTTAAGAATGTTAAACGCATGGCATTACAAAATCTTCCATATACCATCAGAAATGCGCACTATAGAATTAAAATCTTACAGTTATGTGAAGAGGTGGCAACGTCGCGTGTGGCTTCATCCACAATCTGGCAACCATGGAGCATGAGAAAACGGCGGTTTCACACTGACATAAGTCAATTGCGTTGCCCTATGTATAATTCGGGTCTGTACCTTTTCTTCAGTGTAAATGTTTGTGTCACTTTCGCTTGGGTTACCGTTGAGAGCGGACTATTTATTAAAACGTGTAACACGCGGCCGACTAGGCAACATCAGCTATGCGACACGACTGCTCCTGGCAACGTCTTGCAGCGTGTGCCGATCTCTGAAGGTTATAGAAATACGCAGATGAATTCTACGTAGTTTCCAGGAGTTGCGCGGCTGCATAGTACTATATATGCTGTGCGCTTGCGACTCGTTGTTTATAATCACAATAAATTGAAGCTGGGCTCTCTGGCACGTCCACGCATACGTGAGGTCGTTATAAAATGCTGGCCACCAGTATACAGGGGGCATCTCTACATCTGCTCCAACAAAAAACCAATTGCTTTAGTGGATTAAGAATCTCCTTCAGTTTATACCGAAGCTGCTAGTAAGCCAGGGCTTGAATATCCATATTGAAATGCTATGACACATATCTTCTTCTTCTGGCAGATACTTTCAGTTCCTTATAAATAGAGAAGCTTTTGTACCGTACGGGTATCCCGTATCTTGAAAAATGGCACTGTGCTAATTTTTTTTTTACATTATGCTGTTTTTTTTGACATTATATAGGTTTTCTACAAGATATTAACTTGACACTTTGTTGTACGTGTTGCCTAAACGTCATGAGGCTTGTTATCAATCTTTGGCTCTGATGTGATGTAAAATCTGCTAGTGAGATGGTATTACTTTGGCCGAACTCGGTCATCAATCGAAACCGGATGAGCGCTAGAACGCTTTCTGTTCGTCAAGGAACAGTACTGTGTTTTGGAAGCACTAAACTGTTGCATCCCCAAGCAGTGACAAAAACCAGGTCTCTAGTCAGGCAGGAAGTCGCTGCTAGTCTTTTTTTTCCCAGCTCACCGCAGAATTAGCGCCGAATTCCTGCATGTAGAGTGCTCTCGTCAGCGAAGCTGTGGATTGGATTGATCCAATAGAAAAGGAAGTCGTTGATACGTGAGAGGTACATTGTCGGAGCCAAGACGATACCTTGGGAACAACCGCGTTGACGTCGCGATATGAAGTCGAGAACCCGTCAATTCCGATGTATATCTTGCAGCCAGAAAGAAAGTCAGCCCCCCATCTTCAACGCTTATCTGGGAGGCCATAGGAAGCTTACAGAGGACAGCGTGCCAGTTGGATACAGTCGCTCTTGATCTAAGAGCAGTCTTCAAAGTGTGCATCGTTTCAAAGGAACACTCTGTATGCGACTGCCCGCCGTTGTTTTCTATAATCGTTTACATGCATATTAGCTCTCTAGCTGGGTGTAACCTCAATTTAGAAAATATCAGCGCGATTCCAGGTTCATTCCGCAGCACAACATCTACAGCTAGAGCATTCTGTTAAATGGATAATTAAACCTCTTCGGCGCTATGGCGGTCGTAAAATACTGTAGTCGTGTGTGCCAAAGCTGATCACATAATAACACATTCATTTTAGTATGCTGGAAAGCTGATGAGGTCGGCATTGGTACGAAACTCGTCAAAATGAAAATAATTGGACTTGAACTTAAGGTGCTTTTCAGAATATTGGACCTGTTACATATGAAGTTAGTAAGTATAGAAGAATAGAGCCATTTTTCTAAGAACTCTATGAGGCCAAAATGTGATGAAATTGAATTTTCTTTAATTTGACAAAAGAAGCCACTTAAAGAAGCAAAGAAATACTAAGGATGGATACTTCCGCTTCTCTGACCTCCAAGAATGCATGCACCTATAGGTACACTTTTAGAAAAAGCTCAAAGTTCTAATCAGTTTATGAATTGATAGTTGAAAACAATCAGAGAATAAGAAGAGCAAACTTAGCTTCACACTAAAACGTAAAACTCATGGTTCAAATCTTAGGGGCAGTAAACTAAAATGAAGCTTGGCCATCCCAACCTCTTCAGTTTTAGGTTTCTATCCAATGCAAAGGATGTGCTTGTTATTAGAAATGCCCAAGCCCTCTAGATGTTAAAGCGACAAAAACGCACTCCCTCTTGTTTTGTATACGTAAGCATATAGCATTGTTTGTTGCCAAAATTGAGTAGTTTTAGTTCATGCATTTGGCTAAAATGACTAGCAAAGTGACAAACCAATTCATCGGCGTACATTTTCATTTCCCACGCCTACTGGAGGGGAAGCATTATAATCGCAAAAATATTCGAAAATGAGATCCGCCAATCTCATAACCGCCTATAACTTGAGAAGTATTGCTTTAATTCCAATGAAATTTTTGCACAATTTTACTAATATGCCAAGGATGCAAAAGCTTTGTAGTTTTTTAAAAACGGTATAGTGGAGGCGAGAAATAATTTTTTTGACGTTTCAGACCACCCTGATCATTGATTTTTCAATGTGGTTGTCAGGACTACAATTCTGTTAACAAACCTCAGATTGGACCTGAGCATTCAATGAAACAAGAAGTGAAATGAGATAAATCAAAGTTATCTCACAACCGTATATGTTTGCCATATTACAGAGCATTCCAGAATATGTAGTGTTTGTGTTTCCAGTAAAAAATGGAATCAACTGAGATGACTGTACCTCGCTCAAACTTCTTTTTTTGACGTTTCAGACCGCCCTGACCATTGATTTTTCAATGTGGTTGTCAGGTATACGATTCTGTTAACAAACCTTAGAATGAACCTGAACATTCAATGAAACAAGAAGTGGAGTGAGATAAATAAACGTTATCTCACAACAATCCTGGTAACGTTGACGTATGTGCCCTTCCGCAGTACTTATCGATAGAAGACATGCTCACTCACTGTTAGCCGAGATTCTAACCGCTTTTTGCATCGCACAGAAGCTCTCAACATTTTCGGAAATCATCTGGACTGTATGGAACCTACGCACTTTTATGTTTCCGCAGAGAAATAGGAATTTACTGAGAAATGTCACCAACTGCCAAAGTGGCGTCTTAAGTGGCGTCGACTTGTGCTATGAACTTGTAAACTGACCACTATCTATGCAAGTTTGTATACTTGCTCTTTCTACTTAGTCCAAATCCGTTGTAAGCGATTGAAGATAATGTTTCCAAGACCCTCCAAAAGATCCGGTCCGTGCATTTAGAGCGCTTGATTGTTTTCAATGATTTACATCCAACCCAGTGTATCCTGCCAGTTTGAAGCCCTAGGTTTTCTGCTACAAATATGCTGCCTTGTCCACAACTTGTCAAGTATTCTTGTTGATTGCGGCAGTCTAATACAGTCACAGAGTAGTAAGACTATTTGGCATATGGTGAAGTTTAGGTATTCGACAAGAGCAATAATAAGACACTCGACAATGCTGGAGCTCCACTGAAATAATTACATGCACATTGGAAAGCAATACGATTTCTCGGAAGATCCACACTTCAGATGGAGAAACCTTTATATACGGTGGGATTCAACTTTGGCTGAAGCTTGCAATTTCAATGTGTACGGGAAAGAAACGCGAGAAATGTGAGGTACATTGGTTAGAAAGAGATAGATGTTGCAGAATCTGTGGCGATCCTGATCTGGAATCGATCCTAAACAGAGTCGACACAATTCAAAACTCAAAAATCTGTACGCTCAAAATAAAACCATTGTTTGGGCTTAAAGAACAAACTAAGGCAAATTTTGAATATGTATTTTAATTCAAGGCACTGGTGTAATGCGCTTCTCTTTCGTAGACGTTGAACTCGCGCCCGTCAGCCAAGTTTGAATCTCACCGTTCATTGACACATAATACCAATGAATCCATTACTGAATTTGATTATCCAACATTGCCGCCCTTGAATGTTGTTATCTTGTACTTAACCAAAACTATGCCATGTAAATACTATATTTTTAATTTTCAAACACATAGTTGCTTATAACCACTTTTCCTGGTCAGTTGAAATTTATTTTCCTTATTTAGTCAACCTCAACCTCATATCTGTACTGAAGCTGGAATATTTATTTGTTTATTTATTGACTAAATTTACGATTCGCCCCATCTTTACAAATTGAAATTAATAATATATCATATCACAGAGATCATGATTCATGAATTCCTCCAATGAGAATAAAGCTTTTTTTAAGGAGGACCGTTTCAATTTTTTTATAGAAAATGTTAGCATCCAATGATTTTACAACATGTGGCAATTTATTAAAGAACCTGGTTCCAAAAAATTTGATGCTGTGTCGGCTTCTGTATAGCCGAAGGTGTTCTGCAAATATATTATTTTTGTTACTAGTGTCATACCGATGTATCTGACCATGGGTAGTGTTTTTTCTGATGTATAATAAACAATTCAGGATATAGCTACATAGTCGAGTTAAAATGTTTAATTTGACGAATTCATATTGACAGGGATCTGTGTACCTTAGGTCAGATATGTAGCGTATGCACCGCCTGTGCACGGCAAAAACTCTTTGCATATGGGGGGAGTGTCCCCATATTAAAACCTCATTTTCGAAGTATGCATGTTACCTTGTACGAGGGATGTCTTTTAAGTTTTGCATATGGAAATAAAACAACACGGTAGGTAGTTTTAAATGACTTTATTGTTTTTCGAAGTATTCTTCACGAAGATTAATACACATCTGCATGCGTTCGAACCAATTTTTGAAGCACTTATCCCACTCGTTTGCTGGCACATCCAAAACGGCATTTTTGAATGCGTCAGCGGCTTCTTCTGGTGACTGGAACCTTTGACCAGGCAGTCTGTTTTTGATATTCGGGAAAGTAAACAAATCGTTAGGACTTAGATCGGGACTATATGGAGGATGGTCCAATAATTCCACGTGTTCTTCCGTTAAGTACTGCCTTGCCTTTTGGGCTGAGTGCGAGCTTGCATTGTCTTGCTGGAGAATGATTCTTCTTTCGGGGTTAATTTTCCGAAGCTCGGTGATGACTTTTGGCAAACAAATGGTGGTATACCAGTAACAGTTCTTTGCTCATTAAGAGGAATATGACCCGCTTTTGACACAAATGTCGCGACCATCTATTTCGAAACACTTCGAGAACGGATGAGCTTTGTTGGCTTTTCTTCACCTTGGAACACCTAAACAGCCGACTGTCGTTTATTTTCTGGTTCATAACAGTAAATTCACGATTCGTCACCACTAACAATGCTGCACACATTTTTTGAGTTTCCGGAATTGAAACGGTTTTTTGACACCAATTAACCCTGGCTGCTTTCTGCTCTTCAGTCAACAGGTGGGATATCCAACGAGAAACTAATTTTCTTACTGGTAATTGTTAATGTAAATTTTTTTGAATTGAGGTCTTTGAGATCGTCTATCTTCAATGATGAGTTTGCGCACAGCGTCGACGTTTTCCTGGGTGACTGCCATTTTTCGTGCACCCGCCCTGGGATCGTGGCTAAGACTCACCCGTCCACATTTGAATTCTGCATACCAACGGGAAATTGTCTCGGAAAGTTGTAATAAATTATGGCGCGAAAATATTCTCGGTTGAGTTCCATTTTTGTAATGACTTGGTGACACTTAAAAATTTACTGTAGTGAGAACACTGCACGTATTGTTGTGAAACTTTGAATTTAAGTTTACTAAGGAGTGGGGTTAAGATTCAGTACTGACGTTCGATCCGCGCGGCCTACTATGTTTCTATATGCAAAACTTAAAAGACATCCCTCGTAATTAAGATTTTATGAGATACTTAGAATTCACGGAATAACATTAAAACGTACAAGCTCACAAGAACATTATTACATAAAATCACAATTTAAAAGATACTTGTTAAAACCTGATCGCTTACAGGTAAATATGTCAATGTCAGACTGAACCAAATTGATAAGACGCAGTGATTTATCGAGTGGAGAGCACTAACCATAGTTTCTCGGATGGAACTTAATCGCAGACAGATTACTATTACGCAATATTCTACAGGTGCCTACATTACAATTTATCAATGCTAGCAATGTTTCACTATCAGTGAGCCCCAATAAGACCTTGAAATAATCATGAAATATCCATAGTCTAAGACCCAGTGTAGGTAAATGTAAATGCTCTCACATCTCAGCTCTATGATATTTAGTCATGTTCAAGCTCACTTTTAATGCCGCAAGACGTAAAAGTTTATGCTGAACACGCACGCCCTAAATCATCTTTACAAGACTAGTACTGAGGAGACCATACTATTGTAGCATACCCTAGATTTGATGTTATTCTTATCAACGAGCTAAAGAAAGGCGTTACTGTTTTGTTCAGGCGACGGCAAACCTAGGTGAAAGCACTGTAACTCCTCAAACGTCTCATACTTGAGATAGGCAAACCTGTCTAACGCAAGAATAAACTATGACCTGTCAGGTTTTCCTCCCTCTGAACTCCGGGTGTATGTATCATCACAAATCCTGGTCATTTGAGACGTTCAGTTTCTTTTATTTAGCCGACCCTGCCTCGTTCCTATCCATATTCAAACTGGAAAAGTAATGGCAGAATACTCCTTCATGAGCATACATATGTATTTTATCCACACAGGATATGATTCGTTATCCAGCGATATCGAAGGAGGATCGAAGCAGTACGCCCGCTCTTTAAATATTTAACCTCCTGCTCCGCAATATACAACAAGCTCCAATATCTCCTCTGGATACCCCTGCCAAAAAATAAAGAAGATATCGGGAGAAAAAGGCGAGTTTCCTCTTTATTTATTATATCCACAGCCGCACTCGATAATTTTCACAATCCAATATCTTAAAGTGCCTGAACGCCGGCTGCCGACCACTCTGTCCTGGCGATCCTACTGGAAAATGGCAAATAGTACAGTCACAAGCTGCTGCAGGAACATCATGAGAGCTCTATGTATAAGATATGCATATGAGAATTTAAATTCCAATAGGTATTGCCGCATTGATATTATGTAATTATGAGGCCTGATAGAACTGCGGCTTATAGCCGTACCTGTATTCGCTTCGTCACGTGACACCAGAATAGTCATCACTGTCGTTACGTAACTGATTCGGAACCGTTTGAGGTCTAGAAATGGGGCTATAAGTATAGTCGTTTTTGTAGCCGGCAGGCATGCAAGGTCTCTAAATTAAGTGATGAGACTGTATTTCTTTTTCTTCTTTTTTTTTCAAATATAATTACAATTTTATATTGTCATCTTTAAAATGACTTCCTGCTGAAGCCACACAGCGCTGGAAACGCTTCTTCTCATAGCAGTGCTGGAACTCCGATACTGGAATAGCCTTCAGCTGGTCGATTACAGCTCTTTGAATGAGTTCTCTTGAGGTGATTTTTCAACTTTTGGAAGAGAAAAAAGTCACAAGTCACAGATATGTTTTTACTGGTCAAAAGCTCGTTTATTGAAATTGCTATGTGTCAAGCTGCATTATCGTGATGCAACACTCAGTTGTTCTTGATCTGATGAACGGTGGTGTGAGTCAAATTTAACTCTTCCCAATCATTCTGACTGTCAACCGATGATCTGAGCGCACAAGATCTCGCATTCTCTTGATATTTCCATCGTTTCTTGAAGATGAAGGAATTTCGCTTCCGTTCACTGTGCCCAAGTTTGAAGCAAATCCTGATAGCACACCGTTGCTTGAAATTGATATTCCTCATTTTTAAAACACAACAGAAAAAACTGTTTCACAAGAAAATCACTACTGACGACTAAACGACTCGAGCAACTTCAAACTTGTACTAAAGGCGGACCACATATTCTCCTATCTCCCCTCCAAGATCGGCGTCTCCAGTATTGCCAGATCGAACGAGACTACGTTGCCAGTCCCATGACTTAATTTACGTTTTACCTCGTAGATAACTGAAAGAGACCCTGCTATAATTCGGGCATGTGTCAAAATTAGTCATCTGTAAAGAAAGTCTTAAACAGAGAGGCTATGTCGCAAATCATTGATAAAAAGTTAGTAGATGTTCAAACTCTAATAGTGGTCAGCACTAAGCAAAATTAGTCAAAATTAGTATTAAGCTGAAAATGTACGAAATTGGACACTCCAGGTGTTGTGTATATATGAACGATAAAATGATATTTCTAGAAACACTGGTGTACAGAACCCATAAATTAATCAATTTCATAGATTTTCAGCAAAAAGCTAATTTAGTTTTGAATAATCTTGGTTTGTGCTCGCCACCCTTAGTGAATTGATTCTGTGGCCACCAATGTGGGACAGTTTAAGGTCACATGTCCCTGTTTTTGAGCTGCCCGTTTGGAGCAGTATTCTAAATCCTTTTCATGTGATTATGTCATGGTATGTATAGAGATAACTGGAAAACAATCAATTACCAATTTTTTTATCTGTCAAATAATGCATTTTTATGCATTTTATTACTCATTCCTTATTCAATCGGAACTTGTTAACAAATATTAGTACAGCTCTGAAAGTTTATGTCAAAATTCTACTTTTATAGCAGAATTAAACGGGAGATTACTTTTATTGTTATCACGTCTTCTCTTCGCAAAATCTTCTTAAATCCTCATTTAGCAGAAAATTGAGTTTTCAAGAAAAACAAACATTTTTTGAAATGAGAAAGTTATAAGAAAAAAAAAACAACCGCTTCCATAAAAGTGAAACTCTCACATAGAATTGTAGAGATTACTATTATTTGTTAACAAGTGACCACTGAAGAAAAAAATGCATCAAAATTGTGTTTTTTTTGCCAAAAAAAGAAGCTGATTTAATTTTCTCTAAACACAACTTGAGACAGACGAAAAGTATTAAGAATACTCCTCCGTACAGTTGATGAAAAAAAGGGCATGCGGCGTTAAAGGACAATCAAAATCTCAAGAAAAAATGTAACATCTGAAACTTATGCCGCGGTTTACATATACGTAGTACACATGTATTCAAATATCTTCTTCACCGTAGTAAACGTTTCACTAAGGTGATCTTTTTCAGTAACAATTACATACATTTGATTTCAATATTTTTTTTTGCTCCTTGCTACGCCGCCACTGGACCAGATTTTTAGCCTTCTCGTGCTTGGTATAGTAGTATCATCGTATCAATGGCAAAAATCCGAGTTTCACTTGGCAATTTATAGAGGGGTCAAGGATCATCGGACAGGAGAGACAGACAGAAAAACCGACTGAAGTTAGTGACATGGATTTTCATCAACTACACGTCATGTAACATCTAGAAAACATAATATCTGATTTTGAAATATTTTCGCGATTACAACAATTCATCGCTAGTGGTGTGAGGATCAAATAGCAAGCCGCTGGACCTATATCTAAAACGACCGTTCTATCTGTGACAAATTTATGTACCCCATCGTATTAGAGGCAGTTCATACGATTGTAGGTTCTCTTTAATGCTACCATAGGCACAAAGGAGTCCGACCCGGCCAGCAAGGTCTCCTCAGATCATCGGGGAGCACTAATCGCGACACGACAATACGCTATCAAACTTTAACCGGCCCCTGGGATGATCCGTCATCGTCATCAAAACGGACACAGGGAGATGGAGATGCTTTTAAAATATGCATGAACGAGCACGCAGATACAAATAACCTGCTACTGGAATGGAATAGAATTTGGTGGTAGAATTTTATTATAGGGCGTTACTCGTTTTTTATTTGTTTCCAGTGGAAAGTACCTTCTATATTTGCCACATTACAGGGCATTCCAGAATATGTAGTGATGTGCCGGTTTCTCGTAAAAAATGGCATCAAGTGAGATGACTGTATTTCCCACGCTGACATCAGTTCGTAAAGGATTATGTTTGGCACCTGTTAGCCTTACTGAGAAAAAAAGTTATGTACGAACATTTATAACAAAAAACTGAATGATCTTCCTTCTTCCCGTGAGAGAAAGTCCTGCGGACGCACATGATCTTTGCGATGACCAGTCCCGCGTGAATGACGATATTGGCCTCCACCATGCACAGTGTTCACAGCCCACAGCAGTGCCGAAACGATCATCGTTGTAGGCATTGACAACCCCAGCCCCCAATGTTTAACCCCTTTAAAAAATCTGAAAATGATCTGTGATCATCAAAAAACAAATGTTGAGCGATTTTTACATTTTCTTTTGTCATTTTTGGCCTTCCGCCTCGTCGCCTCTAAAAACTACTTTTTAAGGTATATTTGAAGAGAGTTCAAAGATTAGCGAACAGATAGACAGACAGACCGACGGAAATTGGTGACATGACACGACATGAGTGACAAAAAACATGAAACCTCGATATCGAAGTTTTTCGCGACCACAATACTTCCTCGCTAGAAGGCGTGCGAAGCTAACGTGTTTTTTGTCATAGCTCCTG